GGAAGAAATAGCTATGGACTTTATAGTAGACCTACCTGAAAGTAGTGGAAACACTGTCATCTGGACTGTAATAGACCTGTTCTCGAAGCAGGCTCATTTCATCGCTTGCAAAGGACTCCCATCTGCCCAACGACTGGCCAAAATGTTCCTGAAACATATCTACCGGCTGCATGGCGCCCCTAAGCGGATAATTTCAGACGGGGGTGCAGTTCACAGCGAAGTTTTGGAGGGCTTTCCTTGCATTAATTGGATCATCTCAAGGTTTATCATCTGCTTTTCATCCAGCCACCAATGGGGCCGCGGAAGCCGCTAACAAAATGGTGGAGCAATATCTTAGGTGCTATGTTTCTTACCAACAGACGAACTGGACTGATCTTCTCCCTTTTGCGGAGGTGGCGTACAATAATTCTGTGCACAGCAGCACCGGTTACACACCTTTCAGAGTAGCCACAGGAAAAGAGTTCAACCCAATACCTGAATATCCTCAGATGCCCTCCACTTCCCAGACACTTGACCAGTGGGTGAAGGGGTGGGAAGAAGTTTGGAGAAACACAAAAGCTGCTTTAAAAAAGACTTTTGAAACCTATAAAAAGCAGGCTGATAGAAAGAGGGCTCCCCAAAGAACATTCCAAGTTGGGGAAAAAGTTTATTTGTCAACTAAATATCTACGCCTCAAGTTGCCCAGCAAGAAATTGGGACCAAAGTTCTTGGGGCCTTTCCCCATAGTAAGGATCATCAACCCGGTTACCGTAGAGCTAAAACTCCCTAAACTTTTAGGGAAAATTCACCCAGTTTTCCATTGTAGCTTGTTGAAGCCATATCGGGGCTCCACATTAAGACCTCCTCCGAAGAAGGCACCTGGACCCCTCGTGGTTGCGGGGCAGACCCACTATGACTCTAGAATCTTTAGAGGGAAATTGCAGTATCTAATACAATGGAAGGGATACCCGTTGTCCGAAGCCACCTGGGTGAAATCCAGTGAAGTAAAGGCTAATAGATTGGTCAAAAGGTTTCATGTGAAACACCCCAACAAACCGAAAGATGACCCTTAACATATGCTTTGGTTTGCTTTACAGGATCTGTCCTTTTTGTAAGGGGAGCCGGATGTCAACGCTGCAAATACTGTATATTCTTGCTTTGACAATATGCAGAACTGTCTGGTATTTATATAGTTAAACCAGCAACTAGGAAAGAGGGAGCAGCATAGGGATAGCCCGTGAGAAAGAAACCGGAAGTAAATCACATCTTCCAAGTTGATTGGAAGATGTGAACCATGACCTTACAATAAGGGAGTGGAAAAGGTTTGGAATATTAGGCATAACGGAAGAGAAGCAGATTTAAGCATTCCACCATGCTGTGCTGACATATCTGTAAATAAATGCTTTTAGGAGAAAACATGCCTGAAAGTCCTTTTAAGTGTTTCGTTACTCAGACACATGACAGCCGCGACCCCCAACCGGTCGTAAGTTGAGGACTAAACCGGTCATAAGTCGAGGACTACCCAACCGGTCGTAAGTCGAGGACTTTCCCTGCCCGCGAGCGCCGCGCATGTGTGGTTCCGCCCCCTGCGCCGGCCGAGGCGTAGCTGGCAAGCGGCAGAGACGGAGCAGGCCGACCACCAGCTAGTAAACTTTTTTATATTGAAATGTTTATCATATTCTCTAGTATCGCTCATTGACATAGAACCACCATAAAAACTAGCATTAAAGTAATTATTCTATTTTAAGTTATGACGGCCTAAGAAAAAATGACTTAAGGATTTGTACTCACACTTATGACTGACACACACATACACATACAAATGTGATTGCAGCTTGAGCATTTGGCAACCAGCTTTATAATCAGTTGCACTGGCCATTGATCAAGATTTCCTATTTTGGGGGGGGGGGCTGATTCCTGGCAATAATGCCCATTGGGGAAGCTGAATTTGTTTAATGATCATGTTATTCACTTAAGAACCATGTGATTTGCTTAATGGATGCTGTAAAAATTCTCATAAAATTGGGCCTGATTGCAAAAACTTATAATGGAAAATCTGGTCCCAATTGTGTCTGTAAATCGCGGACTATATTTATTTCAAAATGTATAACTTGGGTGGAGTGAAGGTCTCTGTCAGACCTGCCCCCAGTTTGGTTTCTTAGTAAAGGAAGACCCTCAACTCCATTTGTAGTGAAAGTTACTAAAAGCCAAGTGGACTACAGTATAGCAAAGCCAGAACTGAAGTTCGTGTGCCAAAATTTCCCAGTTAACATTCCCTGTCCAGTTCCTCTCCTCCCTTATGTCAACTGTCCAGTTGGCATTTCCAGGGAAAGAAACTTCTGGGACATGATTTTACCAAGAGTATAATACTTTACTGAAAATTTACATTGGCATAGAATTTTACATTGGCACAAAATTTACATTGGCATGCAAAACCAGCTGTCATGGTTCTGACAGACAGAGATGAATAAAGCAGAACGCCGAGGCTTGCAAATTCCTCAAAGAACATGTTTATTAGTTACAAAATATCGGCATGGTCAAAAGTGAAACCATGTCAGGATACACAAGCAACAATTTTCCAATACAAAGTTAAATGTCCCACCCACAAAAGCTATGCAAGCAACTACATTACCCAGTATGATTATTTGGCAGGCTTTTTATGAAACGCCCAGTCCCTAGTCTTGGGAGGAGCCGATGACCTTGCTTCCCATGGGACAAAAGATTATTTTGACTAGTGAAGCACCTGGGCAACACCTCTCCCTCCGTTTTATGTGGCAACCTAGAATGGGAAGGAAAATGGTTGCAGCCATGCTCATTTGTAGAGTTGACACCAGCTCTGGCTTTCCCGCTCAAAAGCTTGCTTAATTAAACAATAGATTCCCTCGCCCCCACCCACTGGGTGTTCACATTGTCCAATAGTAATACTTCTTCTTGTTATGGGAAAAGCCCACTTCTCCATCGAACACCTGCGTTAGTGATCTTGGTGTTATCAGCACCAAGCTCTCAAAAGATGCCTCGGTTGCCTACATACCATCTCTCTCACCTTTGCATCCCATAATCTTGTCAAGCTATGAGCAAGGGAGAAAATGTAGGTGAAAGGGCGAATCAGTCTTTTCACCATGGCCCCTTATTCTCCAATTATATTTGAGTAAACTGTTTTTGCAACGATTTTGCATTATTCTCCCAGGGTAA